CAGCGCATTGGATATAAGCGCCTTCAAGATTATCTGGACTTCATCTCCAGATAATTTGCAAATGCCCAATGCGCAGTGCATGATATCAACGTCAGAGCCCTGATATATCTTTCCAAGCATCATCGAGGCTGCTGTATTGGTCAATATCTGTGGTACACCTGCAATATCGCTGGCAGGTCTGGTCCATTTGTCAGCGAAAATCAGCATTTAGAAGGGGGAAACATTTACGGGCAAAATGGTTTTCGGAGAAAGACTAGAGCATGTATGCAGGCGCTGATACCAACATAGAATAAGGATATGCGAAGAAATTAAAAATTGAAAGAAAACACACATGATGTCTGTATCCCAAACGAAATTGGGATTGAACGCATCGGCAGGCAATTCAAGGTGTTCAAGGATGCTCCGCCATTGAGCGAGTGTGATAGATTGGACGCATGTCAAGGCGGAAGATTGGGTGTCCAAGTCAAAGTACGATCTACTCAGAAAGATTAAGGTGATGACCAGATATTTACGGAAGACCTATAACTTGCCCCTGGAAAACGGAAGCATCCGCAAGAGCATCAACTATCTGGGCCCCCGACGATATCTGTGTTTCTTGCAGGATATATTGGATTTCGACCATCCTATCTCGTAAGGGGAAATCGCACTTGAGAAGCGCAATCCACGTTTTCGATCGGATATCTACAGAATACGCGTCCTGTAGGCTGGATAAAGGTGACTCCGGAAGACCCGCAGTAACCTCAGCCGAGAGAAACTGAACTGGGTGGGCAATAACTGGTGGGCATGTCTGGTCAAGTAAAATCGCAGCTTCCGCAACAATCCTTCTCCATCCGGCCTTGACCTGGATTATGACCACGAGAAAGTCGTACAGTCGCTTCAACTCCCAACCGCGAGGACGGTTGACTTGGCTGTAAATTCAGCAGGTCAGTTCAAGTGGCCGTATTGGATGCAACTGGAATCGCTCACGATGTCGAGCGAACAAGTTCCAAAAGGATCAAACGCGCTTCTTGCTGCGGCCATCTACAGAGACAGACAACAAACATGTGCAACGAAGATTCGGCGCCAGCGCAGATGTGCGCCAATGTTAGGCCAATCGCTTGCTTCGCGATTCTAATGGAGTACATATTTGGTCTGAATTTTGATGGAGTCAACGACTTTTGCTTTATGAAGATAATGGTGACGAAAGGAAATTAAGCCCACCGACAGAGCTCCAATAAGTCATCGCACATGGATCTTGTCAAGGAAGGAGCACGTAAACGAATGGTCGCAAGTCTGCGGCGAATTATGAGTGCGTCTATCCCACGTATCGTAGCCTCTCCGAGAGCCAGCAGTGCTCTTCCAGATAATGTGCCTGGGCCCCAGATAGTTGACGTATCGGTCGTTGTTCGTTGCGAATCCGCGGATAGGGAAAAGAGGCTCTCTTGGGTGGATGGAACCGTACGAAGATCAAGTGTGCGGGGGCGGACACTTTCCACAACGGGCGGGAGTTGAGGGCCTGGAAGTTGGAGATCTGCGCTCCACATAGTGGACGCGTCGGTCAAGGTTCTCTGCGATGACCCCTCTGAAAGCCCGTCGATTGAGCTGTGGGGTGTCGGCAACGTCTGTACTAGCGACATGAAGGAGGAAGGGAAACTGTGGATGCCGATAGATGTGCAAAAGCTGTATTGAAAGACAATGAGGCTATACTGCAAGGTCAGCCAGGTCTGATGAATGATAAGAGGGTATGTGTGCGCCCTTGCTATGCAAAGTCAGGTCGCGTGGATGATACTCATTGGTACAGCTTTCAAGTGACGTCAGAACCCTTCCCGAGAGGACTGGGCCGCGACCAGACTGTCGACCGGCTGAGGGACGTACAGATGAAACACGAGACCGAACTCAGGGCGTCGAGACACTCAAAGAAGAAGACTTCAAGAAGAAATGGGAGGGAGCGGAAACTCGAGGGCGAATTCGCGAATTGTCTTTGGCAATGATATTTATTGTATAGTGCGCCGCTCTACTACGGCCTGCTAAAATGGTCAACGGTTTCCCGGTCTGTTTGGAAGTACATACCAACTTTCTACGACCTTCATTTGCTCTCCTTGTCCTCGTCCTTGGGCGGCTCAGCAGCCTGGCGAGCGACGTTAAGGAGATGCGCGCGCGTCATACAGTAGAACTCACAGCATCGGAGGTCGACTCTTCAGTCGTCTAGAATAGAAAATTGGTGAAAAAACAATGCACACGACAAGATAGAGGGCGTACTGCACCAGCCGCCTTGGGCACATCGGCAGCCTGAGATGAGCAGGTCAACCAGGGAGTTGTGGGAGGAGCAGTAAACGTACGGTAGCAGCGTCAGTCGCGCTCGAAACATCCGCCTCCGTCCCTTCGTCATCCTTCATCACCGCGGGGGCAGCATGCTCTTCGTGCGCTTCTGCATGCACGGCATGCGCGTCGTGCGAGTCATGGCCGTGGTGGCCCGCAGCAATTTTCTGCTTGATAGCAAAGGTGTCCCGGAGCAGATATGCTAGCTGTGGTGCATGCACAACTTAGTTCATTGTCACGAAACCGCCGTGGGCGAACGCACTGCCGGGCCTGCAATGGCTACGGCACCTATCTGTGGGCAAGACGTCAAAAGCTAGGTGTGAGTGGCTGCAAGTAGTGACGCACGATCCAAGGCAAGTCGGATTTTGGCTTGAATGGCTCGTGGTGGGCGGCCGCGTCCGCGCTCATGAGACGCCTGGGTGCGTGTACATTGGAGCGCACGGACCGCGTAGCGCGAGCGGTCGTCGAGAAAGCCTGTCGGCTCAAACGGGAGGCCATGGTCGGGTTCAAGGTATGGTAAAGAGCAAACAATAGTCAACGGTCTCTGGGAATCTAGATTTCACGACAAGCGGTACAGAATCAAAGCGAAGGACGATACGGTCTACATAATTCAACAGCGCAAGCTTATTCCCACTTCAACCCGGTCCTCGACATGAACACCAACCCCATCGCAGCCTGGAACGGGTCGCTGGCCGCGAGTTCTTCGTTTAGCAGTCGATCGCGCATTTCGTCGACCGGCATGCTCCGAAGGGCACCATCTGTGTCCCGCAAGACGCTGAGATGTTTCAGAGCCGTTTGCCCGATATCCCACACGTCCGGTTCAGGCGCAACTACGGGCGTGGCTTCGTGCGCCGTAACATGGGCCTCGGGAGTGAGATTGAGCATCTGAAAGCAGAGTCAATGAACGAAACAAGCATAACACGAGTCGTTACACTGCTGAATAGAAAGTGGTCATCCATCGGTGTGTTCATGGCAGGCGGGGAGTCATAATTGTCCATATGATAATCGGAGCGAAGGTGAGAAGAATTTGTGTGCTTGGACGGGCAGAAGGGGAAATCGGACGGTAACAACTGCAGGTCGCGGACTGGTGTGTTCTTTTTCAGAGGGGAGGCTGCTCTATTCGTAGGAGGAGGAAGTAGATTTCCGGGGAAGAGCGTCGCGCGTAGTGGAGTCTGCGCAATTGGTTTCCGAGTATCTCGGGGAGAAGAAACGAGTGAAGTGCTGGAGGTGACTGTGGGATGGTAGGCAATCGGGTTGAATAATGTGGCCCGCACGTTCATCGAGGGTACTTCGGGAACGGAATGCGACACAGGATCGATATTTTCGGGGAATTGTGATTGGCGGGGAAGAAGCATTGGGCCATTGACGACAGGGGCACGAGGATAGCTAAGGTTCTCGCGGCGCGTAGCGGAAGACTTGGGCTGCTGGGTAATTCGTGGTGGTGCGAGGCCAGCGGGGGAGACGGCAGGCAAAGGCTGATAGAGATTGTGTTGGGGGCGTGAAGCGGAAGGCTTGGGCTGCTGGGTAATTCGCGGTTGGGGGATGCTATTGAGGGAGACGACAGAGGGATGCTGATAAATGGCGTGCTGGGGGTGTAAAGAGGAAGACTTTAGCTGCTGGGAACTTGCGGGCGGCGGGAAAAACTGTGGTGGGAGTCCGAAATGGTAGGCATGACTGCCAGGTGCTGCATATTGCAAGAGAGGGGTTGGGTGGCGGCCGGACGTTGAGCTGGAGGTAACCGGATTGTCGGGAGTCGGAGTAGGTATCGAAGGGCTAATGGCTTTGCTGGGAGGAACGTAAGAATTGTCTGGAGGAGGCAGGTCGGCAGGGGGGAGAGTGGTTTGGGATTGACCAGCGACGCGGACTCTTTTCTTTGGCGGCGGCACCCCGTCGGGCTCTGAGCTCGCTTCACGTTTCACTGTCGTCCGAGTCGCCTGATCGTCCTGTGCTTTCTGGGAACTTCTGTAGCGTATCACCCACGACTTGATCCAGGTGGTGGTGCTATGAAGAGGTTAATGCTCCGGACAGCAGAACAGGGCTCACGCACAGGCCAGTTTCAGAGCTCAGTTTGACGTACTCTGCTGCCGTCCAAGATCTACCAGAGTAGTATGCAGCCTTTAGGGCTACGAGTTGGGCAGGATTTGCCCTTACAGCTATAGGATTACTTGTCAGTATATGGGCTAAGGGTACACGGGAACCGCACCTTTGGCTTTGGTCTTGTCCATGACGGCGTCACCAGAAAAGATGGTCACAGTGACGGGCGTGACTCGACTCAACGCCAACAGCCAAATAAGGAAATCGAAGAAGGCTGATCGGGTTGGGGCAAGAAATTCTGTATCTCGCTCATTTGTGCTTGAATCTACAAGTTTAATGGCTTGTTCTGTTGACAGGTACTCCATCTCTTTATTTGAGACTGACGCAATACGTGTCCCCTCGCCCGTTGGGTTAAATACCCCCCTCGAAGACAAGCTCGTTTCTCGCACATTTGGTATCCGATTGACAAACTTCGTCGACTAGGCGGAGCCCTCTGACTCTCGGGTGATCGAATATGGACTCTTCCTCGCATTTGGTAGGCTCTCCCTGGTGAAAAACCTGATTGGGAGACGGACTAAGGCAAAAAAAATTCCAAGTTTTTTCTGGGTCCCTGCGTTTAATCGCTTGTATTTCGAGATGTCGGACCGGCGTCAAAAAGGTAACCAGATATCCTCACGCGGGGATCGAACCCGCAACCTTGTGATTACGTAACTGCAGTGAACCCATCACTGTAAAAGTCACACGCTCTACCGATTGAGCTAGCAAGGCGGTGTCGAGCCGGGGGGTTCAAGGTATATAGGGGAAGACAGCACCCAACACGACCACTGTAAGGCTTTGTGAGCTCTTCCGGAATTTCAATGATTGTGCGGGTGTCGGGATAAGACTCAGGCTGAGTCTTAGCGCATCAGGAAACCCGAAAAATGCCTGACAGTACTCTGGAGCGCTATGAAGCACTATGACTACATGGTGCTGTACAGGCTCCATAGTACTAGTGCTTCATAAGCGGCTTTCCGGATAATAAATTAGCTAGACAGGGTCTCGTTTCAGAATCGGCGGGTACATTGGGGAAAATGACATGGCTCAGCAGCGCTCAGGAGCAGTATGGACGTGGTAACGGCGTGGTAGACAAGTCCCCCGATATGGTGAGCCTGATCACAACAAAAGGTATATAAAGTAAACAACTTGAATGGTAGGCTTCCGAAAAATCCCTCTACCCTCCGAGTGTTTGATTGTTCCAACCGCGGCATCGTCCCTTTAAAGTTGACCGAGAGTATCGGAGGGTGTTCTTGGACTTTGTGCTACAGTGCCAGAGCTTTGTCCGAACATCCATCAAAACAATGTCGACAATGCATTCCCACGGTTCAAGTTGAACTTCAAGTGGCTCGGCTGCGGCGGAAAGGTGGAATCGAGTTCTTGATTTCGGACCCTCGGGCTTTTATCTGTTGTCGTGGCTGGCTAACGGTGGACTGCAATTCGAACGCAATCAAGTGTACATCCAAGTCTTCGAAGAAGTATTGAAGGTGTTCATCCAGAATGGAACCCGTTTTTTTTTATTGTAGTGCGAGTCCGTGCCGAGATTGGTTAATTTCGGGCGAACTCAGAGAACCATGGTTGCATTCAGGGCGGGCTCTATATGCAGCGCAGACAGCAGGTATTTATCCACGAAAGCCAGCATAATCACACCAAGCTTGGCAGAAATTGTCCACAAACAGAATGGATCAAGGGTCCTAACCGTGCCTTGACCTCCATCGGGAATGTTCCGCCTGAGTTAATCGGGATCCCGATTTCTGTTGAGCTCCCAGGACAGGTGGCTGACCTAGGATCCTGGGCTTGGAAAAAAAAAATCGAGGCCGCTAGAGAGAGTGGGCAATACCGAAATCCAACACGTTGGAAGTTGGAACGGCTTGGATGTGCTTCGTTATTAGAATCGAAAATCTGGTGCGCGTCAAGGGCGCCCCGACAACTCGGGAATCTATCTCGCATACAGCCGCGTACCCTCGCGTATCTTTTCACACACGCGAGCCGCGCACCGAAACTGATCGGAGCCCACGACCCTTGATGGGTCACGTTGCCGTTATGCTCACGTGATGTTCAACGGCGCGCCCATCAAACAGTCGAGCTGCCTCCCTTGTCTTCGTGCAATCGTGTCCTGTACCACCATGGACTCCCCTCATCCCCACGAGGGCTCTACTGACGTGTTTTCTCTCTCAGATCAAGGTACCCTTCATTCGCGCCCTCCGCGGTGCCCCAACTCACTGTCTACGCAGACCTGTCAGACAAGCTGCAGTTCGTCGAGGAGATTGGCTACGGGAACTGGGGTAGCGTTTGGCTCTGTCGGCCAAAGGAGGACCCCAACTCCCCCACCGCCGATGGCGTCGTGAAACTCCAAGAAACCAAGATCGCGGTCAAGCTTGTCCACCGGTCCAAGACTTCCACGACTGCTGCGCGCGTCAGATCGCTGTATGTCGCTCCATCCGCACGTCTACCACGCATTCTGACCCTTTGTGCCCTCAGGTGGAATGAAATGAAGATCGTTCGGTCGTTCAAGTCGGACCCACACCCTTCGATCATCCCGTTTCATTCATTCATTATCACCCCTTCTTACGCGTTGATTACTATGTGAGTGCTCTAAACCACCCATATTTCCCTCATAGCTGTCTATGACGGGCCTTGACGCGTGAACTTGTTTTTTATCACGCGTCAACATTGCTTGTTTGTTGATTGTTGTTTAACCGCCTCAATTGCAGGGCATTCCTTCCGACACTGGTGCCTGTCGAGGTAGAAGAGTCCAAAGCCCGTGAATGGTTCCACTTCCTTCTATCGGGAGTCGAGTTCCTCCACAAACGCGGTGTCGTTCACAATGATATCAAGTAAGCGGCTCTCGTGACGATCGTCTCCGACCCTTAATTTTCTTCCAGACCCGCCAATATTTTACTCTCCACCAAGAACATACCCGTTCTGGTGGACTTTGGCTTCGCCGAGAAATATGATAAGAAATCAGGCACTGCTTTTCACAGCAACCTGTCTTATGGCACTCCCGAGGCAAGTCGCGTATATGACTCGCACTTCCTGCTCACGCGTATAATAGTATCTGTCTCCCGAGCGTGCCCGTGGTCTTCCCCATGACACCAGAAAGTCCGACGTCTGGTCCCTCGGTATTACCTTTTTCGAGATATTAGTTGGCAGGACGCCGTTCGAGCATTCGGACAATGAACAATTTTCCACCAAGGAGGACCTCGAAAAGTACTGGGCGCGCACGGTGGGCTCCACTTTGCAACTTTTTGACAGGCGCTGACTATGCCTGCAGCTCCGGGGAAAGTGGGTTGGCACATGGAAGATGTCCAAAATCATCGAGAAAATGCTCCGAAGGATGATTTCGCCCAACGCCGACTTGCGATGCACCGCTACTGATGCTATGAATGACCCGTACTGGCGCCCACTCAGGGAAACCGACGCTTCGCATAGTACACAGCATTTCGTGCAGCATTCACTGACTAAACTAATCAACGGTACAGGGCGATCAGCTAGCCACGGCTCGTCCGTCGTTTTCGAGAAGGACCAATCCAAGCTCTCGAACCCTGTATCTCCTTGGTCTACAAACGCCAAGGAGAACCGTTCTCCTCCTGGACTTGATTCCAGCTTCTCAAAGGAAGGCAAAAGCCTGCAGCGCAGCCTAACTAAGTCCAAATCGCAACCAAAGGTCACCAGCTCGAAGAGTAAGTCCTACATTCAAACAGGGTTTCTCGAAGCTTATGGATTCGTCCCTAGTCCAAGTGCAGGCACGCAAACGAGCTCCTGTGCCCCCGGTCGTAGACCTCTCGCCTATCAAAGGCTCGCCGACGTCGCCTTCAGCCAGCTCGGCCAAACAGAACGTCATGTCCTTGACTTCCCTTACAGCCGCGTCTCACCGGCAACCCTTGGGGAATGTCAGCGCCGGTACCCGCTCAAATCTCCCCAAACCCAAACCGAGCAGGGAATTCTCCAAAGATGCTCGCAAGGTCATGCCGCTGGCCGACCTCACCGCCAACCGCAACGTTAGCAAAGATCGGGGCAAGCGGGATTCCGTGAAGGACCGTGTCCGGGAGTGGGAGCGGGAGAAGGAGCGGTTGCGGGAAATGGAACGCCTGGACGAGCTCGAGAGAGATCGGGATGCGCAATTTGAGGCCGAGCGGGAGCAAGCTGCGAGGCAACAACGGGCGCTCGCGGCGAGGGAGCGGGCTCGCGACAAGGAGAATCGACAGAGCGCTGATATGACCGGTATTCTTTCACCTCCTCGGCCGATAGCTCCTCCTCCCACCCCTGGTAAGCGTGGATGCTCTCATCTCTTATAGCTCTGACCTTGATTACAGAGGTACAAGTGTCATCGCCGACTAAAAGCACCCCTCCAAACAGTTTTGCGATCCACAGCTTCAAGCACAGCGTCAAATTATCGTTTGGTACGTCTGCATTGCAACTGTCGGAACATCCAGCTGACGGACCGCAGACAAAACGTTACAGATGATGGCGCAGGCCGCCAGCCGCAATGTCTCTTCTCGCACGCTTTCCGTCGTCGACCTTCAGGATGACACTGTATCTCGCCGCAGCCCAAGTCTGCGACGAGAATCTTGGGAAGATGAGGCGTTGGAACGTGATGGTAAGCCGTTAAGAAATTTCACTTTCATGAGGTACTTACATCCATGCAGCCAAATCCTCTCTTCCGGTCGTTCGACATGCAGTGCATAACGAGCGTGTGGCAGCCGACAACCGAATGGACCGTATGGCCATCTGGATGCGCAATGTTGAGCGTACGTTTATCACTTGGTCAACTATTAGTTGCCTGACATATCTGTAAATCTTGTAGAAGTAGTCGAGGATGCCCGCCAAAACTTTGCTTCGTCTTCGAGAGAAGTAACCCCTCTTCCCCCACTCCCACTAGGCACCTCTTTCTCGCGCAACATCTCAATCGTATCGCTCTTCCCGGCTGCCGCGTAAGGTGCTTGCTGCTAGCCAGATCTTCGCCCACCCGGGTGACTCCAGCCAGAACATGTCCTCCATGAATGCGGCAGCCGACTCCTACTGTCGCGAACGGTGAGCCTCAGCGAGGGAACCAGCCAGATTATGGCAGGACTTCGGCACACCGACTCGCCAGCGCCGAGCGACAGTCAGCGCCTCGGTCCCCGGAGCCTGCGGACGCGTCGTTTGACATTGACATCGAGACTGGATCTCCGTCGAAACGGAAGGAGAAGAGTAGGTCTCACGCAGACCTGCTCGAGCGCCGCATCACGCCCATTGCGCAGCTCGAGTTGGAGATTGCCAAACGTACGAGCTTCCCATCTGGTACTTGCATATAATTGACGAGCGTGCTCAGCGATTATGCCCATGCCTTCTCCCCGTCTATCAGACGTCCTGGACCGAAGTCTCTTCATCGCGTCCCCGACTCGCAAGACCTTCGACGAAGAGGATCGCTCGCACACGGTCGAGCGCTCCTTCGACGAGCTTACGTCTTCCCCGTTCCACGTCGAGCCCTATCCCGCTCGGAAAGCCAATGCGCCGGCCGCTCCCGTCCCCGACTCGCCCAACCTCCGCCGCCTCGAGGGCGTATACGACCGCTTCCTCATGGCCACCACCGGCGTGAAACGCGTCGGCAAGGGCTACCAGTCCAACAACTCGGGCCCGGTGTCGTACACCATGGGGCCCCGCACGCCCGGGGCGCCTGCACCTGCGCCGCCGCCGCGCAACCACCGCGCGTTCCATTCCGCGCGCCGCGCGATGCGCCCGCCGGTGTCGAG